TATACAAATTTGTTTGTTTACACTGGTTTCGTTTTAACGTGCAGAAACATTATAATCGTTGCCCAGATTTTTAGGCTTGGAGTAATGATAGATTCAGTTTTTAAAATTATTTTATTGTGTTTTTCCACTACGTTAATCTGATCATTTTCTTATACTTACCTTTTTCAAAAATGGTATAAAACTTCGCCGAGTCGTTATAGAAGTAGTACGATGTCAAACGAGAGACCGTGATGAGCTCAATAACATCGTGCTCACTACTAGGAAGACTGCTAAAACGTTGAAGTCGTTCTAAGCTCACTTCAGAGACGAAGTTCTGCTCAACGTTTACTGCAAAATAAAGAAAATGTAGGGTTAGTTCGCTTGTCGAACTAGGAAACCCTCTTTATTCGCACAAAGATCGGATTTCTTACTAGCTTCCAAGGCAAAAGTGTCAGTCTCCCTGACCTCATAGAAAAAATATTGGAAGTCCTAATTCGAAAGCCTCTTTGGGACTCCAACCAAACCATTTGGTCTTTCCTTGCCTTAGAGAGGTAGTACGTTTGGTCTTGACTCTTTTTCAGCCTATACAGGTGGACAAGCTTTTCCACCTATAGCTCGCATAACTCAGCTATCATATACGCTATGTACATACTTACAATAATTATGTACAAATTCCTCATCAATTGGAGGGTAGCAATGCCAAACCTATTCAATACGTTGTCGATAAAATAATGAGAGGGAATGGACATCCCATACCGCAAGAGGGTACCTAAAATCATTGCCTAACCTGCAGGGGGATTTTTTTTTAGAGATGTCCCCCAGACCCCTCAATGGAAGTCAAGTCACATAAAAGTCTTTTATGCGCTCGAGATCATCTGCCCCAATCGAGGAACTTGGTTCCTTCCGAGGCCGAGGAACTAGAGATCTCCTTGGTGGGGGAGTCTCTGAAGAAGCATTGTCTGAGGAGCCGATAATATCGCTGTCCGAGGAGCCCGCAACATCGCTGTCCAAGCTCCTTACAACAAAGTCCTCAGAAACTTTTGGGACTACTTCCCCGCAAACAGCTGAAATGCCAAGGAATTAAAAAGCCGATCTTTACTATGGCTGCTAGACGAAGACATGGTGGAAGCGCGCCTCTGGATACCTAAAACAAAAGTGACCAAGGGTCAGAGCTCAAAATCTCGACGACCTATCCACACTTTGCTTTCAGTTCAAGCATCCAAGATAGCTCGCATCGATCAAGAGATACAAGCGAGCTACCACAGTTCTTGCGGCCACCTCCCTAAACCCTCCTAAAACCCAAACCAGTGGGTCTACTCAAAAAACCCTAAAAAAGTTAATGTGGCCACGACAATGGCCACCCTTAATAGCAAAGAAAGCTTGAAATAAATAAGAGAGAAAACAAGAGTCTTACCGGAGTGTAAAACGTGGTGGGAGTTCACCGGAAAGTTTTCGTAAATTCGAAAGAGCAACGACGAAATAAAAAGAAAGTGGCTATGAAGTATTGCAAGTGTGTATTTTTTACGAAGGATGTCCACTTTTATAGCAGTGAGCATGGGAGACTAAGAGGTGAGATTCGACCGTAACCATCGATCTATAGCAAATCTTAGCCTTCCATTCATCGAGCAATCTTGATTGCTCGATGTGTCCACGTGTTAACCATCCACAAAGGGCGATCAACCGTCTAAATTTTGCAATCATAACCGTCGTCGCACATTGCCTCAACTTCGCGCGTGGACAACTGTAGTCGCCCACGCGCAACAAAAAGTAATTGCAAAAGCCTGTTGCATTTAATGTGACACGACCGCGTGAAAATTACTTGCATGCCCCTCGTTTCAAATTCCAGGTTTATTGTGAATGTCACAGCAGAAAAAAGGCTAAGTCCTGTTTATGTAGACTAAGATTAAGTCCAACTCATGAAGCTTGGCCAAACCTGCATTCAACATACAACTTGTAAAGTTCAAGCTTAATATCAAATCAAACAAGGAGTCTTCGAAGCTCAAAACGAGCATCGAACACTAGAGGCAGATGTTCTGTATGATTTTTCCATTAAGCTCGAAGAAGTCAGAGTTCTGCGAGGTTATAGTTTGACCTAGAATCAGTTCGGCTCAACACTTGTCCGACCCTGCATAAGCTCGTTGAGAGATAACTCGACCCAATATAAGCTAGTCACGACCAATCCTAAAAGTTATTCAACCATATCACAGATAAGCTCAGATCCCAGATATTTCAGAAGAGATCATATCAACAGCAATGATAGCGTGATCTTAGCGTACAATCATGAGAATATCGGAGTTGTACTTCCACCTTGATTGTAATTCCTTTAATTTCGCTCTTTCTTTTGTAAGAAACTTATATATAAACCCCCTCCAACGATGGAAAAAGGGTTAGCAAATCATTCTAGGCATATTACTATTTTCTTGTAAGCTCGCTAAGCAAAAAGAAATATAGTAGACGTAGGCTCAAGATTACAACTTGCCAAACCACTTTAAAAACTGATTGTGTTCTTTACATTACTGTTCTGATTTTCATATTACTTTGTTGATTATCTTTAATCACGCACACATCAGTTTCGGTTCCACCAAGGTCAATCGGATCACTCTAGTTGATATAATTCTTGCATCAACAATCTACACTCGTATTATTTAATCAAAATTGAGAAGCGATCTAACTCATACAATTCCACCCGTTTCATGAATAAAGTGTGGCCAATTAAGTAATCAAGAAAACTGCTTTTAAAAAATATGGAATTGTAGAGAGAAAAAAGAATGTACTTTGTATGGTAACGTTAAAGTAATTACAGATTCATTTAACAATTAAATATAATCAATCTGCAAGAGAACTGCACAGCTTTTAAATTGAATGAATGAGAAGAATCCAAGTTCACATTGAAGAAATGATTCTTAAGAAATGAAGATTTATCACTACTCACTAGTGATTAAACAGTTTGAAGGAAATCGCTATTCTTGATCTTGAAGCGGCCACTTTGGCCTTTCAATTTCCTCGCTAATAAACTAATATCGGCGCCTTTGTTTATGTTGTAGAACTCCTAAGTCAATTTGGTTTTCTTAATCCACTGCCACTCTTCTCTTCTTTCGCACTTTGTCTTCACTGTGGTCTCTGCGTCTTTTTCAGCTTTTTAATGAGTTCTGAGCTGTTTTAAAAAATTGGGCTTTTTGATTTTGGTAGTGAGCTGGATTTTTTGGCCCACAGCAGATGAGTTACGATATAATATATATTATATATAATATATATATAAATATATATAATATATATAAAACTTGTTATAGTCATAATGGTATGACTAATTAATTATTATATAATAAAATTATAACTTAATAGAAGTGTAATTAAAAAAATTATTGTTTTAATTTCTTATTTATAATTCATGTTTTAGTAGTACATTAGAATTTCAATTTAGCACTTCAATTGCTATTTTTTTTAAAGGATAGAAGTTCGTTTCTTAGAATCAGTAAACATAATTCTTGATAGAATTGCAAATGCAAGTGTTGCATGGTCAATGATGTGAAGTCACAAACAATTGTCAATTATTTTAAGTACTGGAAAATTAGGACCCCTGATATCGATGAATTACAAGTTACAAATAAAGTGGATGGAGTAATCAAAAAGTCATTTAGAATTAAGTGATCAGATTCGACAACTTCATTATACTAATCGAATGGATATTAAGTCCTAATCATCTAAATGTGAACAAATCATATATGCTTTAATTGAAGAAGAAATCATTGCTACAATTAGACAAGAAGAGAAATGAAGTAATCCTGAGGATGATAGTATAGGAATACAAAAAGTTCATGCCAAGAAGCTTAAACTGCTTGACAAGTTATAAATATTTTGACTTCGGTAAGAACGTGTCATGTTCGCGAGTTACTAAGTACCTGCAAGTTAAAATATGTGATAACAACTTTAAAACATATATCATTGTTCCAAACAATTTAGATAAACATTTTATTTCATCTTAAACATTTAATGTAACATAACATATATTTTTGCAATATACAAATAATTATTACTATGTAGATGCAACTTTTTAATATGAGAATTAGAAAATTATAACTTTTACAATCTTTTGAATATATGAAAGTTATTCATATATAGAGTATCACTATAGAAAACTTTATATTATAAAGAAAAAAAAAAAAAAAAAAAAAAGTGGAGTTATTGACATTTCACTGGTAGATTAAAGAAACCTCATTATTTAAGATACCTCATTTCAAAGCTCTAAAATTTATTTTTTGATACATGTTTTAACTCCAAAGTACATAGTCATGTTTTTCAATATTCTACATCATCAGCTAACAACCCGTAGAAACCATGCAGTAGCCAATGGCGACCCATTTGGAGGCCTGCCCGCAATTGGCATAACGGCCTCACTTTGGGCCAGATCTTAGCACCGCAAAAGCTCGTGAAAATAAGCATGGTGTTATTTTAGCACCACCAATGTCTTTGTAAACGTCGTTAATAATTAAATGTCTTTGTAAACTCCATAGAAAATTCCCACAACAACAATTAAGTCAAAAGAAAAGTAGACGAACAACAACGGAATCTAAAATCATTTGAAGCAAAAAATCTCAAAAAGCTAAAACCATGAAATTTCTTCACTTAAAAATATATGTTCTATAATTTAAAGTTCTCCAATTATCTTAAAACACGTGAATTTATGTGAAAAAGTTTGCATATGAAATATTATCCATACATATTATATCTAAACTATTAAAGCATGCTTAAACCCCATAAATACGCAACAAATCAAAGTTATTATTATTTTGATGTTCGTTCAAAACTCAACCAACAACAGCGCCTTGCAAATTGCTAAAAACGAAACGACACACATAGAATATTTCAGAAATTTTAATTGTATGTGATACGAATTTGTTTATTTGAATCAGAATGATATTTCAGAAATTTTTAGGAGTGGGGATTGAAATACTTACTTAATTTCATAAACTTTTATTTATTACAATAAGATTAAAAAAAAAAAAAAAAAAAAAAAAGTGGGTGGTTTGTGCAACAAGCATATATATACTAATATACAGTGATCTTTAATTCTTTATATCACTTATGATATTCATATGTTAATGGAATGGGATTAACAAGTAGTGATAAGACACGATCTTTAGTTTCACGGTTTGAAATACCATGCCCATCTCCGTATTGGTACATGCATTGAGCCATCCTGGCGAGGCTCATTGCAATTTCAATAAAAATAGTGTTCGACAAGTGAGGATTTTCTAATCGATCTTTGTTCATCTTCATCCATGTTACAATAATCATTTCTCGTATGTGTTCACGAGTATCCGTTTCAAATGCTCTAGTTTCGTGCATGTAACATTGAATAGATTTAGCAACATCCCCTCTTTTTAACTCATCCTAAATCAGAGAAAACAGAAAAAAGAAAAAGTTTATTAATTAAATCAAGAATAATTGAAAATCAATTAGAGATTGTAGGGTTTCTTACAGATGATGCTCCCAAGTCATCTGCAAGTCGTAAAATCATTGATGACCAGCGAATTATATTGTTATATTCTTCCAAGCATTCCAACGCCTCCTTTGTAATTGGATTTGTAATGAAAAAATAAGCGTGTACTAAAATCACAGGACCTGATATAGAAACCCATGCATTCTCAATGTATTCTGCAAGTGTTGGGATGTATCCGCTATGGTACCATTTTGCCTCCAACAAATAGGATTTACATATATCTGCCCACTGGTGTAATTTAATGTTAATATATTTAATTATAATGAATATCAAAACATGAAAATTTATGTAAATATTCTGTAAAAATTGATTAAAATACCGTTTCTTTAGGTAAGGAATAATATCAACTCCGTGTGCTTTGAGAGCATCTAAAGCCATTTCGTTTATGGTAGTGTGGAGAACTAAAAAACAAATCTTCATATAACTCCGGAAGTTGCTCCATTGCATTGACGTCCCATCTAAATTACAGTGCAAAATTTGAAATTAATTTCATGTTAGAAATAGCAGACTGCAGGGAGTTAAATATGTATTAAAACTACCCATCACCGCCAACCTCTCAACAACATCTGTAAAGAGCTCAAGTTCATTCAAGGTACCATAAACGTCATAGACATCATCAATGGTCGTAATTAAAGCATTGACCTTTGTGGACATTCTCCTACAATATCCAAACTCAGGTTCGAATATGACTCCCACAGTCCATAAGAAATTCTCCATCAGTCTGTCCCTTGCAAAACTTAACTTCTCCGCAAGACCTGTATTTCCCCACCACCTTCATAAGACAAGGAGCATTCTTAATTATATCTGTCTAAATACATCAACTCATATAAGATCAGACAAATTAGATCTATTTAGTCTCAAATCAACTACTATACACGCTCTTAATTAGCTTGCCTCGTGGCTCTTAACGTAACTTGATGAATATTTTAGATCGTCTTGGTGCGTTGCTTGTACCATGTTGAAATCCAGTTTAGCACGATATTGTTCATGTCAGGTCTTCTCTCATATAAATCTATGACCCACCTTGCCTCCAATCTTAGCATCCTCCAATTCAGTGGAAGCTCCAATGCATGGCTCACTACAGCCGAGAGATATTGATCTTTGTTATCCTTCAGATATGCCTTAAGGTATGAGGTCGTGAAACTTCTAATATCATGGAAGATCGCATTCTCTCCTTCTTTCAAAAGAAATGCTGCTTCATACAAAGATAAAATTCCTTTGCAATCATCATTGAGGCATGACTTGAAGTGTCGCTTCTCATCGCTGAAATTATTGAAAATTTCTGAAAAGAAAAAAAAAATCATGACATTATTATTTCCATCACATGATGTTTCCGAGATTTAAAAGAATCAGTGTCTGGCATGATGTTTCCAAGATTTAATATTTGACTATTATTGATTTTTGTTTGTAATGTTTCTTATTTATGCATTTTGAATACCTGCTGATATGTCGTAGCCATGTTGTCTTAAGAGTCTGAATTCAAGAGCTACGGCATACAAACTTTTCTGTTTTTGGTTTTTGTTATATATGCTATTCAGAATGCTCTTAATTTCATCCTCAAAGTGATACGATATTCCAAGTCTTTGCAAATCATCAACGAGCTCCAGTTGATGTAAAGGATCCACCACAGTGTCCAGCATCAGCCTCACATCTTTTTTCAGCTTTTTCACTCGCTGGGCAAATGATTGTCCCTGCATGATTAAACTTTTGTCAGGCAACCGCAGCAATTAATTTCATGCTACTATAACATTAAAAATTATTAAGCAAAGTAAGCAAATCACAGCAAAATTGCAAGCCAATAAGATTTAACACTGTCTAAACCACAGTTCAGAAAATAAATTAATTAATTAATAGAATTATAATCCTGAGAAAAGATAAAGGACATATACCACATATCACTCTTCAACGATTGAACATAATCAGAGCTCCAAATGGAAGGTTGGTAATTAGCTGATCGCCTGACAATGGTTTCATCACACATTTTAATGGAAGCCATGCATTGAACTCCACTAGGAAAGACAACATTTTTGCTAAATGATGCAATTGAGATGCGATAATTTGTAGGCGGCAATCTGCTGAAAGTAGTAGCAGGGAGTGAAGTGAGTTGGTGAAGAGCCATATTTTGATTTGAAAGGTTTCAAAGTCAAAGTAAATTTTAATGGTGAAAGTAGATGCAGGATTACTTGTGACTGTGTGGCGCATAAAATGTACTAGGTTTGTGGAACAAAGAGCAAGGATGCTGCAAGCACGAATGCTCAGAAACTATTGTTTATGCACTAATACTAATGCAACTATATCAAACTATATAACTTTTGTTAAATTCACGCGTGTGTTTGCTAAGGAACGTAAATATATAGAGGGTGAAATGTTACTAGATCTTTCTTCGACTACACCTGATCTCAAAATCTGGGCTTCAAAATTTTGTGTGCTTCTAATTCACTGTAATTTCAATTCAACGGATAAAATATGAAGGTTTATGGCCGAGATGGAACCGAAGAAATTAGCAGTGTAAAAGGTTATGGTCACGTACAGAGGACGGACCACAGACCTTATATTATTATGATCTAGAAATTAACAGGTGTCGGTAGAGTCATTATCACAGAGAGGAACCGAAGAAATTAGATCACGTGGGTCTTGAACGAACAAAAAGTAAAAATATATTATTCCCCAAAACAAACGGATTTTCAGATTTAATAAATATACGATTAATAGCATATAATTAATCCGGTTAAAGCATTATATATAATAATTTTCAAAACAATAACTAAGATTCTCATATTACAATTTTCAAAGTTATTCAGGACGTCTCATAAAAAATGTATATATTTACCAATAAATTCCTTAGTAATAAGTAATAACTCATAATATATATATCTTGTGACTGGTTTTAGGAAAAAGTTTTTATGTGTTTATAGATCCAACACATACCTACAATTTTATATTAAATAAATATACTATCGAAACATAATAATTTATTTAAAAAAAAAAAAACTGTTTCCTGCTAGATTAATTTTTAAAAAAGTAAATTCCCAAGAAATATACAATTCTTTTATCTATTATGTTTGCTCTTTTATTAAATATTTGAAAATATATATCTATAAAAATAATAGTGAGAATAAATAAATGAAAAAGTTATTGGGCGACCATTGATTGTATACTTCCCGATGCATGTTACAAAAATTAAATAATATTTTTTTCTAACATGAGTCCATCTTTCGTTAAAGAAAACGTCTGACACACTTTAATATGTTAAATTGTGTTATAATGACAGTTAAAAATCTATTAAAATAAAAAAAAATAACGTTATTTTAAGAGAATCGGAAATAAGTTATGAGATTTTGTTAAACCTCTCATTTTCTCTGTATAAAATACTATTTTTGTGGCACATGTTTTTTTCTCTGTATAGAATATTATTTTTCTGACACATGATTTTGGCTGTTTGTAGAGGACATGACAAAAAATATCTCAAGTCACATCCCAAGAATAATGAGAAATATTCCATCACAAAAATTAAATAATATATTTTTAAAAATAATAAAATATACACAATAAGTAGTTAATTAGTAAAAATATCGTCTAGAGATTAGATCCTAGTAGACCAGGCAAAACACGTCCGTACCCATATCCATTCAAGGGCTAAATTCAAGGGTTACGGCATATAAACTTTCATGTTTTTGTTTTTTATCATATATGCTATTCAGAATGTTCTTAATTTCATCCTCAAAGTGATACGATATTCCAAGTCCTTGCAAATCATCAACGAGCTCCCGTTGATTTAACACTGTTTAAACCACAGTGCATAAAATAAAATAAAAATTAATAGAATTATATATAATCCTTAGAAAAGATTAAGGACATATACCACATATTCACTCTTCAACGATTGAACATAACCAAAGCTCCAAATGGAAGGTTGGTAATTGGCTGATCGCCTTGACAATGGTTTCATCAGACATTTAATTTAATGGAAGCCATGCATTGAACTCCACTAGGAAAGACAACATTTTTGCTAAATGATGCAATTGAGATACGATAATTTGTAAGCGGCAATCTGCTGAAAGTAGTAGCAGGGAGGGAAGTGAAGTGGGGAAGAGCCATATTTTGATTTGAAAGTGTTAAACATGAGATCATCCGAAAGTAAAATTATGCAGACCTAGATTCTAATCAGTAGCAAATAATATCACAAGTAAATAATAAGGTAAAAACAATAGAGAAAATCAAACACTAAGATTTGTAACAACCTTTCTCTCTCTGGAACCAAGAGAGAAAGATCAAAAAGAATGGAGCACTCACAATCGACCCAAACAAAACCTAATTCATATTAGGTTACATAAGATGATGGAAAAGCCACAGATGCCCTTTTGCTTTTAATAGAATACCTTTGACTACCCAAAGTAATTAAGTTGACTTCCACGTAAGGTATAAGATAATGCCACTTCACAACAGAAAGGTTTCAAAGTCAAAGTAAATTTTAACGGTGAAAATAGATGCGATACTTTTTGACTGTGTGGCGCATAAAATGTACTAGGTTTGTGGAACAAAGAGCAAGGATGGTGCAAGCACAAAAGCTCAAACTATTGCTTATGCACTAGTACTATTGCAACTATATATCAAACTATATAGTTTTGTTAAATTCATGCGTGTTTGGATACTGCATGTGTTTGCTGAGGAACGTAAATATATAGAGGGTGAAATGTTACTAGATCTTTCTTCGACTACATCTCTCAAAATCTGGGCTTCAAAATTTTGTGTGCTTCTAATTCACTGTAATTTCAATTCAACGGATAAAATATCAAAGTTTATGGTCGAGGTTATGTGTTGAAAATCTGATTTGTAATGGTAGTACGAGAGATGGATAGCCACATAAGTTCCTGAAGTAAAGAGCAATGGAACAGTACTCTCACTTGGTCACACAACACGTGAGTCATGTGATTGATGCGGCGTCACCATTTTTTATGGTCGATTGATTGGTTTAATTTTTTTAAATAATATCATATTCATAACAAAATCACACTTAAATATTCAATTTTTTTCTTTGATTGCGTTGGATTTATTGGTTTACAATAAAATATTTTAAATTAGGGGCCTTTTTGGTACATTATTTGAAATATATATCATGTCTTCGTTTGATAAATTTTTTAGAATAACATTTTTGGAAAATAGAATAGGATTCTAAGAAGTTTTTGATACATTTCTTAATAGCATTTTCTGAAAATATTTAAATTATTTTTAACCCCCTAGGTTTGTTAATATAATTAAATACTCTCACAATAAAAGTTTATAAATTGACAAAAACATCCCCACCAACCCACATACTGTCGGAAGTTGGCCACCACCGCTGGTAGGTGGGCAGAATATGCTATAATGGCGTGCAACTGGCTGGATATAGTCGGTCATGCGCCGATCTAGCTAGAAACGGTCAAATCTACGGCCACAGATCTGGTTATTGACAGCCAAATCTGGCCAGATCTAATCATCATTGACGGTCATATCTTGGCTGTCGTTGACGGTTATATCTCTGATCGTCATCAATAGCCAGATGTGGCCAAAAACAGATAGATTGGCATACAACCAGCTAGATCCAACCGGTCGTGCATCGTTATGACGCAAACTGGCGGTAGTGGTATGGCGGCGATGGTGGTTGCTAGTGGGTGATAATGGCTTGGGTGTGTGGGAGTGTTTTTGTTAATTTTAAAACTTTTATTAAGAAAGGTAATTGTTGATGTTTTAAGTTGAGTTGAATAAAATAGGATTAGATTTTGAAGAGAACTGAGAATATCAAAACAAATGTGTATTAGGATATGATTAAATAAGATAATAGAATAGGATAGTGAAAAAATAAGAAAACAAACAAAGAGATGATATTCTGATAAACAATTCTAAATAGAATAGAATATGATTAAATCAAACAAGATAGTATTCTAATATTGTGTTTAGTACATTTTTTGAAAACATTTTCTAAAAATATTTAGATTATTTTTTAACCTCCTACATTTGTTAATTTAGCTAAACACCTCCTCCCCAACAATAAAAGTTTATAAATTAACAAACCCCCACCCACCCAACCGACTGTCGATAGCTGGTCACCACCGCAATGAGTTTATAAATTCCTTACTAACGACTCATAATATATATATATGTTGACTGGTTTTTGAAAAAAGTTTTAATGAGTTTATACTTTATATATCTAACACATACCTACAATTTTATATTAAACAAATATACTATCGAGACATAATAATTTAAAAAAAAAAAAAAAAAAAAACTGTTTCCTGCTAGACTATAATTTTGAAAAAAAGTAAATTCCCAAGAAATATACATTTCTTTTATCTATTCTGTTTGCTCTTTAATTATATATTTGAAAATATATATTGAGAATAAATAAATGAAAAAGTTATTGGGCGACAGTGATTGTGTCACAAAAATTAAATGATATTTTTTAATAAAATAAAGTAAAAAAATATACTAATATTTCTATGATTTTTGTTACACATGTTCAGAGACATATCCGCAACTGTCGTTAGTGCAACTCAATCCTAAAAGATTTGGTTGTCCCCGGGACACGACAAAGAATTATCTCAAGTCAAATCTTAAGAAGAATGAAAAATAATGCAAGGAATGAGAAAGGTAACTGAAAAGTCTGAAATTAGGCTAGCACAGCTCGTGTCATGTGTCACCAAATTTAAATAATATATTTTTAAAAATAATAAAATATATAAAAGAGTGGTATACTCATATTCCCAAGGTTTGGCGAAATCTTAACTTAATATTTATACCATTGTATTTAATCCAGATTTTTACCCTAATACTAACACTATTCATGACTGTTAAAGATGATAAAAAATAATGAGTGAGATCGATAAGTAAAGATATAAATTTTATATAAAAGATTATGAGAAGTCTGACGGTAGTCTCGAAAATGATTTTGAACTTTAGAATCAGTCAAAAAAACTAAAAATGGCCAATTTAAACACTGTTAATATGAAACATTATTTACTAACATAGTAACATGGATCATCTTCTATCAAAAAAGGCGTTGACACATTTTAACGTATTAACATGCATCATATTATAATGAAAAGTTTAGAATCGATTAAAATAAAATAAATGACGTTGCCTTAATAAATCTAAAATAAATGGAGAGGTATTAACTTGAGATTTCGCTAATAAGTTGTTTTATTTTTCTACCTATTTTATTATTTTTTAAAATATATTATTTAATTTTGCTTGTCCAGCTCGTTTGCCAGGTCTAGATCCCAGTGTACATTTTGCTTGACGAGGCATACCTCCTCGATT